TTGAAGGAATGAACTAGTTGTATTGATAATTATTATGTAATTTCTGGAAATAAAGGTCCACGCGCAAAACTTTTCAGTCCCCCCACGTAGTGTATTTATATAGAAACTATTCGGATACCGGATAGTGGAGGAATATACTTTATTGATATAGCTCTATGTAGTGTATGTAGTGTATGTAGTACAAAATAGATACAATCGTCCCCCTCTATAGTCACGCTGTCGTGAACTATTGTTGGAAGTGTGCTTATAAAGAGATTATGACTATATAGAGGGTTTTTTTCTATAAGTTTAATAGTAATTGGTTCTAAACATGGTGTACTTATAAAGAGGTTTTTTATATGATGTGCTTATAGAGGGGGTGACTGTAGAGGGGACGACTGTATTATGAAATCCACAATATATATTGTGTAGTTTCGTTCGATATAGTGGAGGGATGATAATTGGTCGAATTAGAGGGAAGAAAAGTTTTCTTCTTTACGACGGGGTAGGAAGCAGAAGATATAGCTTTCTTGCAGTCGAGTAACCAAAAAAACGTGTTGCCTTGACTAGGGCAGAGTATGTAATTGATAAAAAAATATATAGCGGGACCTTTATTAGTCATTATAAAAATAGAGAATTATAATAATGCGAGAGTTTGATTATTTTATAAATACTTTCAAACCAATAAAATTGATTGATGTGACGTTCGTTATAGCGTGTATCACATAATATATTATTAAATTACACTATACGCCTACATTAAAACCTATCATTACTAATAAAACTCTACATTAATGTTAAGCAAAGTCTAAATTAGGAATAACAAGTCCTGTAAAGGAATATAAATAGGCTCCCGCATCAGTCCTTTTTGTAAGATATCGAAGAAGAATATTGTCCACGTCGGACTATTCCTTGAGCGCGAAATTCGGGTAGTAATATTATACGATAGTTTTCACAAAGCCATTTAGCTAGTTTATAATGACAATCATTCACAAGACAACGGATCCTCTTGTGAATGCGTAATGTAATCTACAATTGAAAGTAGTATATATGTTAAATTATAATAAATAATAAATAAATAATTAATAAATAATTAAATAATTTAATCAATAAATTTTACCTGTAACGTTTTCGATTATTTTTTTCCCCATAATAATAAATACAATCGCGTTTACCTTGAAGCTTGTCACATGCATGACTTAATCGATAAATTTGGCCAATATTATTTTTACCCCATTCAACAGCTACTCCACTTGGATCAAACCTGTAATAAATGTACATACAACTGGATCCAGAGAAATCACTCCTGATCCCCCCTATTAAATTATTACATATATAATTAATTAAAGTTTTAATTTAATAGATAATACAGTATAATATAATATAATAAAATAAAAAAATTAGATCAAAACCTTTTGAGATATAGTTTTCAGCCCATATTTCAAATACAAAGATAATATTTACCAAGTCGATTCATAACAAGGCAGCTATCATATTCAAGCTTATTTGGAAGAGGTTCTGCTGACTTAATTTTAGAAAGAAATGAATATTCACCATGAGACTTGCCCCAGTGTTTAGAAAGTATTGTAATTGATTGTTGAGGATTCTTTTTGGAACAGAGCTTTATCTTGAAATTTTTTATGATTGGCGGCAAAATTGGAAGAATATCCTTTAAGCAAGTCATTCATTACTTCATCACAAATGTCATAGGGAGTTTCAAGGACCCATTTAAGTTTGGTATCATTAAAGTTCATAGTTTGCATAGATCCTTCTTTTCTCATTCAATACTTTTTTTTCTTTTTGACTGCAGTAAGGCACCGATTTTATAATCTTACCCATTTAGTTGGTGATACTGATGATGTTTCTTCACCACTATCCAACTTACAAGCTGACTTGCAACCTTTGTTTCTTCACAGGACAAAGATCCTGAGCTGTATGCATAGCCATTATCATCATTAACATATTACATTTCCTCCTCCTTCTCCCACCTCATTTTACCCTACTCATCTCCATTTTTCCTATATTCATCTACTAATCACTCTCCTTCTATTAAACAAATGAGTCATCTTATCCAATCTGCTGTTCTCTGAACCATTTGGACTTCTTACACATCAATCTCATTTGGCTCTGCCTCCCCTCCTTCTGCAGGACTCACTTCCTCCCTCATTAAACTCTCTCTTTCTTATAAATTTATTATAATTACTCCTTCCCTTCCTTGGCCTTCTATATCTGAAATCTATAGATTCTCCTCTACCTTGTCTTCTCCATAATAATTACAATTCATCTTTTTTCCATATTGATATACTGTCATAATTAACAATAACAATTTCTTTATTATTATCTTAGACATTAACTTTGTAACTATTGCTATTCAATATTATTTCATTCCCACATATTCTTTAGGCTTCTTAGCCAAGATCTTTATTGTACCTATTACTATGTATCCTAGCATATATGTTAAAACTAGCTCTAGTAGGTAACTGTAGTTAGACAATAAAGTTCTATATTATAAAAATGTTAGGTGACTGATATTTTATATCAGATGTATCAGAAGATACATACATCTCTTACAAATTTGTCATGAATTAGTGATCTGCTTTCTGGTTCTTGATCTTGATTTACTGATGAAATTTCTTGTCACTATCCAACTTATGAGCTGACTTTGTAAACTTTGTTTCTTCACAGGATGAAGATCCTGAGCTGTAAACATAATCAGGGTCATCATCATTATCAAATTCTGTAGATGTATCGGATTCTGAATCAGAGTAATCATCGCGATCTTTATTTACTGAGATCTAGATATTGGAAGAAAAAGTTAATTTACTATGCATGATGGTTTGTTGCAGAATATACATATGTCATACTTCTCCACTAGTTTCTGGAGTTTGTTGTTGTTTGGGTTCACCACTCTTGACTCTTTTTGATGGTGGTTGAAACATCAGATAATTAGACCCACCTTTTTGTTTGGCATCACTTCTTCAATGCTTGTTTGTTTATGATTTCTATACAACTGTTTAGGCTTTTGAAAATTATTTCCAGAACCACCTAATTGAGCATTACTGAATTGTATCCCATCACAAGATACAAATAAACTACTATCGCGAGGGACTTTTATTCACAACAAGGTGCTCGCTAAAGCCCAGTTTGAGCTGTTTTTATCTATCTA